ACGGGGAAAGGGAGAGTAGAGCGAAGTTTGGTGCAATATGAGGACAATACTGGTAAGTTTTAGCGTAGGAAGAGAAATAGGGATGTAAAATGACTGTATATATGCTCTAGGCCATCCTTTTTATACTACCGATACCTGCACGAATACTTCCTAAGCATAAATTTATTTCCTTATAGAATTATTTTAGATGACAGTGGCTAATTTTAGTTTGTATATGTGCGCATGGGTTGAGAGAGAGAGAGAGAGAGAGAGAGAGAGAGAGAGAGAGAGAGAGAGAGAGAGAGAGAGAGAGAGAGAGAGAGAGAGAGAGAGAGAGAGAGAGAGAGAGAGAGAGCGCAAAATTCCGTTTCCTGAGTTAGACATCTTCTGACAACAGCGACCTTACTGCAAGCATCCAGTCTTCCTCTCCAACACCGTAATGAGTGGGTGACTAAGATCTAGGCGTGTGCCATATGATCTCAGAGCCGGGCCCTAAATCCCGGAGCCCATGCAATCCTTTGGGTTTGAGTCACACCACCTGATTCTTTGATCTACATTATGGCCATGATGGAAAACTACTTCGAGGAAAGAAAAATAAAACGGAATTGAAAACTACATCTACTTTCCATCCTACAGTATGCTCCTGGTTTTGTCTTTCTCTCACCTGTAGTTAATCTTTCTACACCTCTCGCCTCAGAATTAGATTTCTCCTTTCAGTTACTCTGCTACATATGCCTTCTTCCTGTACACTTGTAGTTCTGACTGAGTCCTTTCACAGCTGTGCCTCCAAATGAGAGACTGTAGTATAAGCAATTCTGGATTAGTTTACTAGAAACACGACAGTTGTATAGCACTTGTCAACATAGATCCTTTGAAATTGTGGCACTGAATCAGTGGTCATGTATATGGCCTGTTTTTTTTAATGATTGTTTATTTCTGCTTGTTTAAGAAGGAAAAATATGTATCAAAACTTCAATCTTATTACTCTGTAAATTATTAAAACAAGATGTTGGATATTTCATAACATGCACATATTTTTTTTTTTACAGGACTGGATGAAGGATTCTTAAGTGTTGTGTTTGCCTGCATCCTCCTTGTAATCGCAGGTGTTACAGTGTATGCATTTGTAGTTCTTTACACTGCTGTTCACAAACGTTGGACAGAACAGCCAGAAGACTAAGACTGATAAGATGATGTTTATTCCTTCAAATAACAAATACTCATGAATTCTCAACTTGGGAGCACAAAGTTTCATGATTTTCATGGTTGTTGACATTATCATTAGTACATTCTTGCATCTATCACAAAACAGCAGGATTCCATATCTTTTAGTACTACATCTTAGAGTTGTCACAACTGAATGAAGAGGTCAGAACAGGAATTGGACATAAAGGAGTGACAGAAAATGTAATGTAACAAATGCCACTGAACTTGGTCCACTGATCTGCTAGGTGCAAAAAAAACAAAAAAAAAAAACAATTGTTGTATGTCCTGTTGGTACAATATTTTGTTGTCATTGACTCAAAACGATAACACTGAATAAGACAATATAATAGTATTAGGGTATCAACATTTGTAACTGTTTTCATGGTTAACTTTTAGCGCCCCCCAAATAATAATAAACAAAATTCAAATCAAAACTGGTTATATAGATGAAGAGTCTCTTTCTCATTTTTTCTTCATATATTTTTGTTTGTGAATATTTATTTCAAGCACAAGTTTTACCTTCACATGAAAAAAGTAAAACTCTTTAGGTAACAAGGGAATAATAATAATAATAAAAACTATTACACACATCATAGGGCTGTTGTTGGCTGAGACTCAAAAGCAATCACAAATAATTTCATATAATTAATTAGTATTTATAGAATGTCAACAGCCCCTTCTTGTATCTAGTGTGAATTAGCATATATATATTTATACTCAAATGTAATCTTGTAACTAAGCCATGCAGTTTTTTTTAAATGATTCTTCCTAGACTCCCAATTTTCTTTGAATGTTTAGAGTAAAAGATGACAACATTTCCTAGTTGTGGAAGAATGTAAAGGAATTAGTTTTGACTCAAAAAATGGCTGTGCAGCAGGTGAAAAGCTGAAAATTAGGTTCCAGTGTTATTTAATATGTGGGCATTTGTGCTTTCATATTTAATAAACAAGAGCAGTATTTCTGATACAGCTTTATTTTCTCCATTTTATTACCCTATGAATGTGATTGATACTTTATTAATCCAATAAGGATGAAAGCCCCTATTGATAAAGCAAATGTGTCAGCATGGCTGCAGAGGCAAATGCTGCTTAAAGGAAAAATCAGGAGCACTGGAAGCATAAAATAAACCCATAACTGTTTAGCATACACAACTTAGAGCAAGTTTGACCATGAATGACACAAAGACATAATTACAGAGCAAATAGGTTAAGTGGAAGAATTCCCATCCACTTGAAGAAATGAAATTATAAGCATGTATAGATGAAAGAAAGGCCACCCTATAGACAAGCAGGTTGCTAATCTACCCAGCAAGCAACTGCATATGGTAATTACAATGAGCAAGCACTGGTAACCAGAAATACGTGTTTATCAAATACATCTCTTGTAGTGTGATGTTTTTTCATTCAAACTTCTTCTACAAACACACACATTAATCCGCACCAACAAATATGTAGAATGCGGATTGCCAATGAACAATATATTACCCTTTAAACATAAACAAACCAAGAAGAATCACCTAAATGAAAAATGTGTATTAGTCAAATTGTGGAAACACTCATTGCAGGTTCAATTATCCTGTACAATAGATCAAGAATTTATATCTACTCTTTAATAGCAAATCTGACTTTCTTTAAGCCATTGGCCATAGGTTCATGTTCAGTCCATTGTGACTTTTTTGTCAATTCTGTTGCACACAGATGGCTATACATGTGCTCTCCCACCAAAGAGTTAATTAGTAGGCTCTAATGACCATGCCTGAATTTCTCATTTCTTGAGTTTGCAGCAAAATGTGTTTCTTTCCTAATGTTATTAATATTGATGCTTTATTATTATTATTGACATCAGGAATATTACAATGTTTCAATACAAATAACAACAAAAATAGCCAAAAAAAAACTTTCTAAAAATCAAGGAAATGGGCTAACAGGTGAGACTTTAGGGTAAATAAGCACCTGTGAATTGATCTCTGCATAAACACAATTAACAAACTAAAATTCCCATGGACATGCTATGGATGTCATGCTTACATGGCTGATGGTTGGTCCACCAGTTATGGTTTTCATGAAATTGATTACCAATTAAATTCTGCATTTCCTATCTGGCTTTCATTTATGTTACTGTTAACCTTTGCAAACAGCATTATCATTTTTTTCTAATATTTTAATACTGTAATTACCTACTCCAGGGCCATATATATGTTTTCAAAATGTGGATTAAGCTTTAAACTTGTCTCCACCAATGCACTCTATAATTCATTAATTATATTATATATTGTTGAGAATAGTTCTGCCTTTTTTAAACTTCATATTCAGAATGCAGTAAGTATCTAATGATGATTTGATGATGATACTTAAGGTGAGCAAAAAATAACTATAAACATTTAAATATTTGAATTTAGATTTCTGCATATTCAAATAAAATTCTGTTAAATCAGTACACTAATATAAATAAAGAAATGCAGGTGCAACATAAAAATAAAAATTCTGTCCTGATATCTGAGCCAGCATCAACCTCCACCCAATGCATTTTGCCTTAATTATTACAGCCTATTTTTCTCCCATTATCCTACAACCTTAGATCTACAGGGAACAAGAAAACACATACAAACTTCTGACTAACATTCTTTACAAATTTACAACTATTAACAATATCCACCGAGGCCAAGACCACCGCATATTAAAGGGCATTGCACACTTCCATAAGAGTCATCGGGTTATATCCACTGAGTGCCTTTAATTCCTTCCGCCCTTCTGCTGAGGCTCCATCCACTGTCTGTAGCCAGTGCCGGTCGACATAGTAGTTGATAACACTTTCCATTTCTAGCTCATTGTAGTTGTCGACGGGAATGGGGATGAAAGGGTCAAGTTTCTCCCAGCCCTGTAAAGAAGACACATTATTTTCCTTTGTATTTTGTTGAAAAACAACAACTAAAGGATAGAAATACTGAAATTGTCTAATTACAAATTAGAAGCAAGTAGGAAAGAATTCTTCAAACCAATCCATGTATGTGTGGGAAAAGAGAGACATGAAAGTGGTAATAATGATGATTTGGTTCATATATATATATACAAATACACAGACCATCTCTCATACTAACTTTCCGTCTTAGCAAATATCTTGGTAAATGGGATTCTCGTCTTCCACCGTCATTTGCCATCCTGTCAACTGATCCAACTACAACACCATTTTTCTGGAAGAAAGAAATTTTTTTATCAGTCCCACTTTAAAATAAATAACAATGATGACTGATGATAATGATAACAACAATATTAACACCAAACCCACCACCATCACCACCAACAAAAACAACATTAACAATAACAATAATTACAATAATAAATAATACTAATAATAACAATAATAACAATAATAATAATAATAATAACAAAGACATTAATCATGATAATAATGATGATGATAACATTAACAACAACAAAAACAATAATAACAACAACAATAACAGCAATAATAATAATAATAATAATAATAATAATAATAATAATAATAATAATGATGTTAATAAATCCACAAACTTTGAAATACTTACCCAATCACTGTCAAAAAACTGACTGAAAGCTTGGAAAAGCGTGAAGTTGTCGGGCTCAACAATTGTTCGATCCTCTCGGCGATACAAGGTATTTGGACAGTAGAAGGTATTGATGCCATCCACGACTACGGCTACCTTACACCTGGGGGGGAAAAATTGTGAAAATCAGTCTTAAAAGGTAAAAATTGGAAATCATAAGGAATGCTGTTAACCCATTCGCCACGGAATTATGTTTGGTCCCCTGTAGTTTTTGGTGAATTTTGTTACATACAGATGGCTCCACATGTCCTCAGCCGGCAAGGAGTCTATCAGTAGACCCTAGTTACCGACCCTGATTTTCCCATTCATTGAACTGGCGGGAAAACTAATACCATTGTTTTCGATACTATTATTATTGTTATTGTTATTGTTATGCTTATTGAAATGTCATTAGAATATTTTTGACTATGAAATGATACAAAAAACCTTGCCTAAAGTGAAGGAAAAAGGTAAACAGGTGAAATAGGTAGTTCTTGATAACTGGCTATTTCGTGATTAAAAACTTGTGGAACCATCTATGTGTAAATACAATAAATAAACGTGTATCAAAGTGGGCATGGCATCTATTCTTGCCACGTGTGGCGAATAGGTTAACCCACTGCTGCCGGGGAAAGTTAATAAAAAATGTGGGAAAAGCTGTGCTCATTTTTAATATTTTTGTGAAATGTCTCTGTACATAGATGCCTCTGCTAGCCACAAAGGAGCCAATTAGTAGACCTTGTGACCTTACCTGATTTCACCTTTCCTTGAATTGGTGGGAAAAACGTATTTTTTACTAGTATTATGAATATCGATGGTGTAATTTTTATCATAAACATTACAATTACTATAATGTTATAAACATTAGTAACAGCAAAATAAGATAACACAAAACACTTTTCTAAATCAATGAAAGGGGTGATCGGGCGAGACAGGCAATACACGTAATTGGCTCATTGGTGACTTAGTTAAAGTGTAGCCATCTAAGTGTAAAAACAATTAAACAAGTAAACTCACAGTAGGCATGGCATGGATGTATGTGCCATGCCCGTTGGCAATGGGTTAAGATAGGACTGAAAACATATATAATCACTTATTACTGAAAAAAAAAATCATAATGACAAGACTATGAATAAAAAGTATAATAAGAGAGTTGACCAAGGCAATACAGATGATGGAAATAGACATTATGAAAATTATCAACTAAAACACAACTGAGACAAAAAGGCAAACTGCATTCATTAGAAGCTACTAAGATAAAAAATATTGGACTATTTGCTTCAATTACAAAAGATAACGATTTAAGATTGCAGAGAAAAACAGCAATAAGTCTTCTGTGTTTCAGGTGAGTCTAGAAACACCTGTATGTTCAGGTACACATAATATACTAAAACTCATCTACTGTAATATGGGAAAGCTATAGGATATTATGTACCTTAGGAAGCTTTTACTATTACTAACACCTACTGTGGGTTTTCTTCCACATTCTAGGTTGGATAAAGATAAGCTTCCAGAGTCGATAATTATTCTGCAAACCATCAATAAACACATTTTTGCCTTGACTCCTTACCACCAGGAGATTACTGTACATACTATGCCAATTTTAACTTTCCTACCCAGCAGCAAGGGAGTAACACCATGACATGACACGTATAACTCTGATATAGCAAGGTTTAAAAAAAAAAAAAAAATAGAGGAAACAACATACCATATGGAAACACAGTTCACAATAACTAGCTCACCATGTCCTATAAAATATATATCCAAATCTAAAAATTCATAACAAGACAGGTACCACACACTACCTGCCATCTGTAGCATGTTTCTTGATTTCTGTTGCAAGAGCCATGATGCAGTCAGAAGCAAATCTTGCCCGACCAACTCCTTGCTCAACCAAAGCCATTAGTGGCGATCCAGCTTCCGTTGATTCGCGGCGAGTCCATGTGTAAGTCATGGATGTTTCCAGCTGAAGAAAAATCAGGAAAGATTTAATAAAATATTTAAGCAGAATTAAATTGAATCATTTACCCATAGCATTTAACATTAGGGGTTTGAGGCACATATGTATATCGCCCACGGTTAAAGATTAATTCTCAGTGTAGATAAGATTCCGAAAATTGTTTCCCATGTGTTTCCTCTCTATACAGTTAAATATTTCTTTTGCAAGTAAATGCAAGATGAAGTAGAACTTTCAAAATAAAATGTTTAACAGAAATTTCTTTTCCTCATTTCCTACCTGAAGTGTCTTCATTAATTCCGAGTTTTGAGATCTAAAATGCTGCAGCCAAAGTGCCGCCTGAAGAGGATGATCAAATCGTCCTGGAACGCTTGTGGATGGGACAACCTCCTTGATATCTCTTCGCCATGCTGATGCTGGGCAGGTAATAACATGTCTGGATTTACATATCTATCTCCATATCTATATTCACATCTATATCAACATCCATATATCTCCATATCTATATTCACACCTATATCAACATCCATCTATCTCCATATCTATACCACCATCTAAATAAATCCTTATATATATTTATATCAATATCAGTATCTACCTATCTATCTATTTATTAATCTATATATATATATATATATATATATATATATATCCACATATATTATCACCAAAGGGTTTACCAAATCCTGGATGGTTTATATACTTACGAACTGGAAGATGAATAAGTAGCCAGCCCTCTTCAGCCAAGTAATGGAGGATATGGGCCTGGGATAAAGTCTTTCCAACACCATCACGACCATCTTTATAATTGCGTTAAGGTTACTTTCAGGTACATGTGAAATATTACGAATCAGATACATTATGTGAGACTGAAGTACAAGACATTGGTTGCAACGATTTACTCACTTTCTCTAATGGAAATATTTATCAGCAAGTAGTAAATGTTTCCTATACCTGATTGCATACTCAAGGATAAATACTCTTAAAAAATGAACTTTTCATAATCCTCTTAATCCCAATTATCCTGACCATTAACCTATCGGATCTGGGTGCTTCACTGCCTACGTGTAGCCCAAAATCCAGGCATTAGGCTTATTTATTATCCATTTTTTTTATAATTTTCAGCAGCATCAACATCTAAGCAGTGTATCAAAATATAACAATAGTGTGAGTCTTGGGGGGAAAGCCACCAGGTAAGGAAGCCCAATATGACATCAAAGGTCATTTGGCACTATGGTAAAGAATAGTAACAAAAAGGGTTAGACATGAGTTAATGATTAGGGTAAAGTTACAGGTTGAACAGTACTAGAGGATAGTGTGGTAGTAAAAAGGGTAGAGAGGGGGAGCTGATGGGGTATAGTATAAAGTAAAGGTTGTTAGAAGGAGTTAAGGGAGTAGGGAGCATTATGATAAAGCACAGTGGCAAAAATGGCAAAAATTAGTTAATAATTAGGATAAGTGGACAGAACAAGGGGATGAAGAAAAGGAAAAAGAGAGGAGGAGAAGAAAAGACATGCAAAAATTAGTTGAGGCATGGGCTGAGGACCAAGGCAAGGGTGATCCCCTACATTGGGCTTCAGTCTCCTTCTCCTAAGCCCCTCCACAACAACAACGAGCAAGGGATTAGGGGGGATTAGGCTTATTTATGTGGAAACTCTATGACTTGTAGACTCACATGAACAATTGTGTGCAGTGTCAAGACTCCTTGCCTCCTCTTTGTAATGCTATCATTTTTTTTACTGCATATATTTTTTTTGTTTTTTGCTTTTTTGCTTTTTTGCCATTTTCCTAGATCTATATTTGTCATCAGATATGCTATATGAAGATGGCATGCATGTCTAAAGGGGGTCTCAGACCAACTGTCTTACAATATGTTTAAGTGTTTTGTCAATTTAAGCCTTCATCAATAACATGAGTGTCAATGTATTAATGTTAATGCACTCAATATCATGGTAAAAATGCATTAAAATGAAGATATCAATTTATCTTCCATATAAAAGCTTAATTTAACAAAATATTTAATAAATGCAATTAGTCCAAGAAAATTTTTAGACATTTACCCTCACATCATCTCTGTATGTATTCTATAACTTGGTGCAATGACAATAACAATAAGTGACATTTCGTTATTCATGTCATTTTTTTTATTTATATAGTATTATATTTTCTGTAATGCACCCTTGACTGCTGGTCTTAGTAGGTAGGAATAAAATCCTTAGCATGGAAATGGTGTCTTCACTGGAGGTGGCACTCTTCCAGTCATGCCTCAAAAAAAATATAGTCTGCACTTGGATACTGATGGAAATAATGTCAGAGCCTCTTCCTAAATGCCCACTGAGTCTAATCACCCTCTAAGAGTTTTATGTACTCAGGGCAAGTCATTCCTGCCACCCCAGCCATCAGCCAATTCTCATGACAGAATGTTACTGTCACCCTAGCCCTCTGCCCCCACCCCCCCACCCCCAAAAAAATGTGATGGTCCCATCACCCAGATCCACTCAGGTTATAAATAGGGTCATATATAAATACAATGTCAACCAAGTGTGACTTATACCTCTTGATTATTCAACAAGCCTCCCGTACCCCACAGACTGATAATGAATAAAATATTCTAAACCTGTAGTAGAACACAAAGGATACATAACAAAAATTTGTTAGGTGGCAGGGACAAGTTGGACCGCTTGATCAGGTCAATCACTGTGAGAGCTGGTTCCCTCACCATCAGGCAAGTTTCATTGAATGTTTTGGCTTGGACAGCATATTTCTTGGGTATGCCTCCTAAGTTGTACAGCTGTTTGAGGACTTCTGGTTCAATCTTGTACCAAAGTCCTAAATGATCCTTGGTATGAAGGCTCTGAAATAAGAAAAATATTATGAACTACACACCTATAGCCCATAGCATCTTTTTAAGGCTGAAAAAAATGAAATACTTCATTGAAATCCTGTATCAGTAATAACATATGGCTTCTCCATTACCGGCTGGCTGACTGATGTGCGAGGGGCTGTAATCTGCTCCAAGACTGCATGGCTATTCCAACACAAAGGCAGATGGTGCTGAACATTCTTGACTTGAAGGATACTAGTTGAGCCTGTTATAAATAGATAGTTAATATTCATAAAGACTCATGAAGATCCAATGGTGTAGTGTTTGGGAGGAAAAGGAAGGGTGAAATTTGTTTTCAAATGACTCTCTTCTCAGATCACTTACCAAGCAGAAACATTTATTGGAAAACCATCTCACTGACCCTGACAGGTATTTGCATCACCTTTGAAAATCTGCCAAAAAGGAACTTAAATAATGCACTATTATGTTAAATAATATCTATCTATATCCATCTGCAATAAGGCTTTTTTTCTTCTTCGTCTTCTTCTTCTTTTTCATTTATTTGGAATTGTTTCAATTTCATACAGGCTTATAATACTAGGTAAACTTTACCTGTAATTGACAGAATGACAAAATTTGACATTTTACATTTACAGCATTTTCTTCACAGGATGATATTAAGAAAGTCGTGCAACACATAAGTAACATTTTGGTATAACTTACATAAGGCCTGAACTAAGACAGGGAAAATCTAATGACACTGGCATGAAGACAGTGAAAAAAAGTACACACTGATACATGAAATAATATGATTCGTTGTTCTTCCTGCAATTTGTTTGACATGAATTCCACATGAAATAATATGCACAGGAAAGAAAAATGTCAGAAATGAAGAAATTATGCTGAAACAAATACCACATGAAGACAGTGATTGGATGAAAGTCTGACTCTGTCCCTGTATGGAAATATGGTGATCGGATTAGGGTTCAGGGGTTAAGGGTTTTGGTTCACCCAGTGATGTTTGTTGATTCCACAGAGTGCTCCTCAGGTTGTTGGCTGGTGTAATAGGGACTTTGTTAGAGAAGGGTGCAATCACTTTGTAAACAATATCCAATGTTTTCCATTATATTTGATATTGTTTATAATATCCAATATCTTGCTCTGGAAAACAAAGAATCCTACACATATGTACAGCAGAACAGAGCATAAGACAGACCCAGCATTGGGGCTCCTACATTCGGTCATACACTCTATCCTTTTGTGAATACATGGGTGGGGTTAGGGGGCCAGAGCTTCCAAAGAGAGAGGTTGCAGAGGGGACAGACCCTGCATTAGACAATATAATTATTTAATTTGGGGATTTTATTATCATCATAGTGACGTATTTTGTGTATATTATTAACCCATTGCCGCCAGGGAAAATGAACAAAAAATGGGGAAAATGCTGTACTAATTTTTTATATTTTAGTGAAATATCTCTGTCCATAGATGGCTCTGCTAGTCCTGATTTCCCCTTTCCTTGAATTAACGGGAAAAAACGTATTCTTACTAGTGCTATAAATATAGATGGTGTTATTTTTAACAGCAAATTAGGATAACATTAAATATTTTCGTAAATCGATGAAAAGGGTGAACGGGCGAGACAGGCTGTACTCGTAATTGGCTCATTGGTGACTTAGTACAAGTGTAGCCATCTATGTGTAAAAACAATCCAACAAGCCGACTCACAGTGAGCATGGCATGTACATACATGTCATCCCCGGCAGTAATGGGTTAATATCTAGCCCATAACTTCCATAGTACCTTTCATGCTTTCCTGTGCTATAAAGGTCAAGAATGTAGGAATTTGGGGGGATCAACAGCAAATGTTCTACATGTATAGGTAGTAAATGGGGTCAAATTTCGTTATTAGTAAGAGTGCGCTTACCTCATTTTTGACACCAGATAGCGATAAAACACATGAATCTAAAACATTTCTTTTCTATACATTATCTCAGTGAATAAATAATTGTGTGGGATTAAGAACTCTTATTCTTTACTATGCTTTCTGATTATCAGGCAGGTGTTGGGTCGCAGTCATGTTACGTTCATGTTACCAAGGATTTCTCTTGCTTTTAGTTTGGCTCTTTCTTGCTGTGAATACAAAACGAAGATTTGTTATCCCTGGTGAGGATAAGGGGGCAGCAGTCCCTAAAAAGGGGTCGCAGAGGTCGAAGCCCCTTAATAATGGGTGAAGAAAAATGAAAAAAAAACTCTGGAGATCCATGGCAACGCACCGACTTTGAGCGCGGGAGTTTGGTACATCAAGCCGGATCACCAGCTCATAGTGTACAGCAGCACGCCATAGATCGAGTGGTTTGTTTTGACGCCTCATGGCTTGACCCGTTGGGATGGGGTTAAGAGAAATAAGTGAGGAACTTTGAAATTTGAAATGTGCACATAACGGCTATGATCGCGGTGGTTGATACCCAAATGTAATAGATATGCTAGTTTGCAGCTGAAGGTTGAAAATGTGTGAAACACAACGAAATCAACTTTTCTGAAAAATGACTGTAGAGGGTTAGAGGAATCCATTAATACCACTATAAGCGTGATCTGTCATGCAACGGTATTCTGGTTTCCATTCTCTTGGTATTTGTTACCAAGAGAGACACACCCTCCAGAGATGAATTCCCTCTTTAATTAGCATTTTGTGAAAAAAACTTGCAAGTTTCTTCAAGAAAATAGACATGAATAAATACAAATACATAAACTATGTTACACGTAAAGTTCCTATTATGTTTTTTTTCTGAACCTTTCTTTCACATCTGTTAGAATGATCAGATCTCAATTAAGAGGAGAAGTTAATTGCAATATCTGAACATCCATAATCCCAGATTTCCACAAATATAGCAGGTGTAACTTACGTAATTCGGGAAATATTCGTAAAATCCTTCGTGCCATGATACCGGCCATGTTTACAGCTGGGG